GAAATGGGATTGACGAAACGAGTTCGAAATCTACTTGAGAACGGTTTGAATCCTTATCTTCCCAAATCTTAGCTATGGGTTAAAGAATACAGAACTGCTTGGTAGCCTGTCTAGAAAAAAGGCGACATTGAAGTCAACGGGAGAAGACAACTTTATGACGGGAGAGACCGATGCTTTGTGTTTATTTGCCTATTTTAATTTCCCCCATTATGAGCATTATTATATAGTAACACCGTAGATCACGAACGGAACGGCTGAAAGAAAAAGGAATGAAAAACATACTTTATTCTCAGAGAAACTTTTATTTTATTAAGTCATACACAATATTGCATATACATATTTATACACGTGTCTCACGCGGAGAATAATATATATATATATATATATATATATGTGTGTGTGTGTGTGTGTGTGTGTGTAAAAATATATAGAAAATAGGAAAGAACTCGTTAGGTAAATAATCCAAAGTTCTTTAGTATTTTCGTTATTATTTTTAAAAACAGTGCTCGATACAACAGTAGAGCATAAATATAATTATTTATTTAAAAAAATGATTCCATCGCTACATAAGAGTTCTCATGTTTCAAAACAAGAGCCGAAAACTTCAATATAATTATTTCAATTAAATTGAATTTTTTTAATAACTAATTCCTGAAATTTAAGCTTTTTTTTATAAGCATATTCATTATTAAAATTAAAAAATTACTATATATATATATATATATATATATATATATATATATATATATATACTGCAAAGCAGAGTGTAAGGAGAAACAAAAAATGGTGTCTTACATACAATATGGAATTTTCTGGAGAAGCCATGTTTAGGATTCCCGATTCAAACGGGCCGGATTCATCTATGTTCCAGAACAGAAAACTGCAGAGTCTTTGGATTTTCCCCAAATTGAAGGCAGCGAACTGATTTTTTTTTCTATATCAGGCAAAGATATATTTCCAAATGGAATCGGCACCATGGACTTGTAAGATGCTGAGAAGATAGATTTAGCCTTATCCTGGGCTTCTTCGCCCAGGCTAAAAGAATACAACCTCACGTGGTGGATGCAGTAAAGGAACTGAATTTCCCTGCCGCTTTCGTTGTTGTATGGAGTGACATCATTAATCAACCATCAATTTACCCACATGACTTATCTCCACCAAGGGAGATAATCACTTTCCTTATCCCTACAACGGGAATCCATTATACCGTGTTTCACAAGAAGATATGTCAATTCACATATAATAGAAAAAGAAACAGTAGAGAGCCATGACCGTATTACGTCTTGAAGTTATATGTCATTATAAAATCTTAGCTCGTTAAAATTCACAAGTATATTGTACCCAATGAGGATCGAATTCACTACTCAGTAGTATTTAGTAACAAAACAAGTTCGTAACCATTACCCTACGCCTGTGACACTATTTAGGTCGAAAGAAAGAAAAAAAAAGAAAAGGCGAGAATTAAATTTAGGTGATAAGAAGCCATCATGAACAGGACACTAAGCGATGTTATTTTTCTAACAAAGAAAAGTGGTAAAAATTTATTTTCATTGTCGAGAAAGTAAGATACTGGACTTAATCTGATTTATGTTACGGGGCGGAGAATAAGATATAGCCAATCTGCCCATGGCAATGATGAAAATTCCAGGCTGGTCAAATGGCCTGCGAGACAGAATTCTAAAGAGATAAAAATTAATTGGTTCGCGAAAGTTAATGTCCTTTGGACCTCCCGCAGGGTGCTAAGAGATAATACTGATTAAGCACGCACTGACCGAAACCAAAATGTCCGATTTGATCAACCGCAGAATTACAAAAACAAAAGACTGAGCCATTGGCTATCTACGAAGATCTTTGAAAAAGGCATCTGTTTTGTGTCGGAGCTGGATATGATAAGAAAATTATTTTATCGGGAAGAAAAATTGGCTGTGTTTCGCCATATGACCACCCACTTGATAATTGGCGAAAATCTCGTTGACGAATTCCATATGAAATTCGATTGCGATTAAGGAACCACACTACGAAAGAAAAGAAAGAAAAGAAAAAGAAAAGAAAAAAAGAGATAAATTTTTTTTTTCTTTGAGCAAGATTTTTTAAACCGAGGTCAGTCTAGCCACACCCACGCCGCTGAGCGCCCATTGGCTGAATGGTGGCGTGAGCGATAGGCGGAGGTAATCATGTGAAGTAGGAGGGGAGGCCTGTTGGCACTCATTGAGGGGATAGGTGTGAGATGCCACTGTGAGAGAGAGGGGAAACCCGTTGACACCCTCTGAGGGTATGGTGAGATACCAATATGAGAACAGAAGAAGGTGGGAGGACGAAAAGACTTCAAAAAATGGAAAATAATAAATTTTCCTGACCGAAAACAAAGAAGTGGATTGTGGATTTAGAATTATCAAGGAACCTCAAACCCCGACAAGCCCACCCCGGTTTGGTCGGCGTCCATATAAGCACAGTCGCAGCGAGTGAAAAGCAGTTCGAGTTCCAGTTCCAGTTGAGAAGCAGTTGCAGTGAGTTGAGAGCTCTGAAGACCCGCCTCGCAGAAGCTGACTAAGATTCGCGCATTGTCGACCTCAACTTCTAATCAAGAACAATTTATTTTTGAAGAACGACTTAGACTCACACCCCCAAAACAAGTTTTACAAATATCGCCTGAAGATACACCAAGAACCAGTTTCTTAAAGAACAAACAACTTAAGATGTTAAGACTCGCCTAACAAACACAAAGTGTCACGAATCCATATAGCGGGTTGGGAAGAAGACGCAGTCCTGTATTCAGCAACCAGATATAAAATATTGTTATCCTTTTTTAACACATTTGAACTTTTCGAGTTATTACTTCATTTTCTTTTACATATACTTGTGCGGTGTTACCCTTGTCCGGTCTCAGCTTGCATTACGGCCCGACGACTGATTGATTTCGTCTACCTACGATCAAATCACAATGTGGGTGGGTTAGACTAGAAATCAAAGCAGTTACTTCGGTAACCAAGACGTTGGAGGCGAGCTGGGAACGACAAGGCTGATACCGAATCTAACCAGATTCCCATCCGAATCAGCAAAAGGTTAGAACGTCACATTTGGTGCCGCGACTAATACCAAGTCACATTGGTCGTCACAGGACAGCATATGACGGCCACGGCGCGCGGACAGACGGGGTGACGTCACAACTGTCGCCGTGGACAGGACAGCACAGCGGCACGGCCAGGCAGACGTCACATTTGGCGCAGCGACACCGGGGGGGGGGACGTCACACGCCGATGCTTTCTTTATGGTGTTTCTGGTTAGATACTTTCTCATAAGCGCAGATATGCCACAAAGTTTATTTCATGCAGTACCCCGCGTCAATTCGAGTGGAATGCGACAAAAGGATTTCGAACAACGCAGTTGACATCCACTTATAGTGGACTAAAGATGCGATACCCTTAAATTACAATCTCCGGATCTCACTGACATGTTGACGGGGTATTGAATACAGCGACTGCATCCTCTGCTAAAAGGTGACAACTTCTGAGCGGATACTTGCAGACTCAAGTATTATCAAGACCAAAGCTTTCGTATAGACTCAAGTATAAACTCGATCAAAGTTTACGTATTGACTCAGGTATAAATCCGACCAAATTTATCCTACAGTCTCAAGCATAAACCCGACCAATGTTTGCCTGCAGACTTTTCCTTTCCCTGATTAGGATTCAGTTTTTTCATTCTTTTTCAATTCCAGTAGCACATTGCGTCTTTGTGGTATTATCGCCTTGCAATGGGTGAATTGATTAAAAAAGAATAAAACAAATCTATGATTGCGTACTTATTTTTAAATTTCTCTTACATGGTGAAAAAATAGCAAATCATAATACCACATATATATATATATATATATATATATATATATATATATATATATATATGTGTGTGTGTGTGTAATAATTATAATTATAAAACAATTATTGGTCAGAGATGAATTAGACTAGGAAACAGTTGCATTAAAAATTGTTCAATATACGTATAAAGAAAATAAAAATTTAACATGCAGGGCCTTTAAATTAAAAAAAAATTAGGTGATCAGCGAATCACGCTACCTTGGTTTCAACATTTCAGTATCGTCAGGCATTATAAGGCAAATGATTTCTTAACGCTTTATTATCCCTAAATATAATATGCAACAATTTTTATATAAGACGCACAGAATTCATGACTTCATTCACATACATAGGCAAAAGCTACCGCGTTGACAAACTACAAAGTAACCCCCTTCTTTCCCTCTCTCTGCAAACTACGGTTAAAAGGAAAGGAGTGACTGAAATTACCCACGAAATGAAACAGATAAACACAACTACAGAGAAAAAAGAATGAAAGAAAGAAAGGGAGAGAGTGAGAGGGATAGAAAGAGAGAGGGAGAGGGGAATAGAAAGGGATAGAGAGAGGAGATAGATATATATCAGACAAAACTTGGCCGAGGTTTATATTTTATTTCTGCTTGAATTAAACATCAAATAATGTTAGTTTTCTTTGAGGTGTCTTGGATTGTGTTATCGACTATCACTAGCGATGATGTTCTAATTTCTCAGTAACGTTGACTCTCAACAACACCCAAGGTGTCTCACGAAAGCGCGCGTACACACTGAGGAAAAAAACCGGATATCTCTCCTGAGGTGTTTATAAATTGAACGCTGTTGAATTCTTAACGTTAACAATGAATTATTTAAATTATAAAATTGTATTTAGATTAAATGAAAATTACTTACAATATAATAAATATTCCTTACATATACATTTCTTCTTGTCGTCAATTTCGACGGCACGGGTGCACGAGTTTATATATAAAAGCACAACGCGAAGTGTAATAAAAGGGGAGGAGAAAAGAAAGAGTATTGAAATTGCATTGGAGTGGGGAGTAAATAAAATGTACAT